GTGGAGCTGCCGGTAGAAGGCGCCATGTTACTCGGACCCGAAACACTCGCAGTCAGCGGCTTCGGGGGGAAAAAAGAAGACACAGAGGTCCCGTTAGGTAAGGACACCTAAGATGTCTTTTTGAGCCTGGGCATGGTGAAGGAAGCAGGATCGCAGTGTATACAGGATCAGCTGAAAATTATCGGGGTATCTAAGCTCCTCAGACACACGTCTTCACACTGCCATTACCAGACCATGCCCCCCTCCAATGATGATTTTTGCTTGGCACTTACCCCATTTACTTGATTTTTAAGGTTCTATGTAGAAGTTGTAGGAAATCCCATAGTAACCATTCATCTTGTTCTTTATAATGCTGTAGCCTGTGCCAGTAAACTGATGCCTGTAATATGCTACCTACAAAGGCTCCACAATCTTTTTGCCTATTTATTTTACATAATTAATTCTACATCAGCTATCGATTTATGTGAGTTTTTTTGACTTGTCTGTTTTGTTTCCTAGGCATTGCTGACTACAAGCCTGCAGACGGAGAGAAGATCATCCTGCGTCTTAGATCAGCATAAAGAGCAACAAAGACCACTAGAATGTACTATTGTCATCAGATATGAGGGAAACTGGTCTCCCTTTTTAGAATTTTAGATTTCCATCATTATGTGCCAAATAATCTTGATTAAAAACACATATATCCCTTTTGGATCACCACTGTAATATTTTAAACAGTATTAATTAGGAGCTTAATTCTATAAAATCATTGTAATTTCCGGAGCCCCGAAGCTCCAAAATACAGATTCTTCTGCACAAACTAAAAGAGGAACAGCGGTGTTGCTTACAGAAACTATTCAGGTATTTGCTTTTATATACTAAAAGGTATACAACCATGGCAGATCATGAGATTGGTTTTATAGAAAAATTATGGACCGTCCTAGAAAGGAAGTTGCTTCCAGTCAGCCATTTTGATCAAAACCAGTAAGGGCCCCATATAATGAGCCAATATGCGATGTGCAAATACCAGTAGCCCATCGCAAACAAACACAATTCAACATTTAGTGCTAACAAGCATTAATTGAAATATTTTTTTGTATTACTTTTCACATCAGCCCTGTTTTTTTTAATGTTTGTATGATAAAGCTAAGCTGGTTGCTATTCTTTCAGAACATTGATTTATGTAAAAACTGCTCCATGCCGTTGTTATGCTCCCGTTATGTAGGCTTCTCACAGCACTGAGAATGGCAATGACAGCTGGAATGTGCACTGAAAATCAAAGCTCCCCACTGAAAAATGTATAGCACAGAACATCTAATGACCGGACTAATGCTTTTTAACATAGTATTATTCAAACTGTAATTAATACATTTTCGAAACTGTGAATAAATTTGCCATTCTGAAGAAAATAAGCAATACATTGTTTTTATTAAGCTCTACAGTTTTAGAACTGTATTCAAAAAGTGAAGATTTGTTATGTTATAAGGAACATCTAGAAGTATTAATTGAGTCTTAGCAGTACACTGAAAGATTTACCTTTTTGCCTTGCATTTCTTTGAAAAATGGCAGTGGACTTCATATATGTAAGTGTGCCGAGGAATTCCAGCGCTTACAGTCTCATAGCTGTATATCTGCAGTGTGAGTTTGGAGTGAGATTTGGCAATGTTTCTACCATTCAGCTCACGGTTCTCCTTGTTGGAGGCTCTGACATTAGGAAACAAAGCCCTGCCCCTACCAAGGTGGCCACCTGTACGCAGAGACACAGTAAAGGATAAGGCACAGTAAGTTAGTAATGGGAAAAAAATTAGCTGCAGGTAATGTTGGCCAGTCCTTTGCCCTCTACTTGCCTTTTCTGAGTGCAGCTTTTAGAGTTCAGTTCCTCTTTAATGTAACTGTTTTGGTATATGAATATGCAACTTTATTCAATAAAGTTTTAATTCTTAAATGCTAAGTCTTAGAAATGTTGCTTCCTTAAATAAAAAGGAAAGTACACAACCTACAAAAGAAGGCCTTTTATACTTGCTTGTACTGCTGCACCTTCCTATGTTATTTGCTCACTTAGGGCTCAATCACACCAGTTGCAATGCCTGGTGTTTTTCAGCACTGGATTAACACCATTCACTGCCAGGGCACACAGAAAACAATTGCAACATTTACACCACAACGCTAGTGTCATGTGTGGTGTGGTGCAGTGTGGAAAAATCCAGCATGGCAGTGGTGTGGCACCAGAGGTCATCACACCACTGCTGTCTGGAGACCTGAATGGAGTGTACACTTTGTACACTCCCAATAAAGCTAAAAGAAAAAGTAAACTATGCCTTGCGTTGTTATTGCTGCCATCCAGTGGACATCAGCCGCAGGCTAAGTGAACCATTAGCATGTGGCTGGTGTGAACCTAGACTTAATGATATAACCTGCCTTATCACATCTGGCCCCTAGGTCAATAGAGGACACAGTAGGGCCGTAGAGGCTGGCAGATTGCAGTGGTAGACCAGGTTGTCGAAAATCACGGAAGTGACGGATGGCAACATTTTCCAGGAGGCGGTAGCTCTGAAATATAGCGGAGATAAGAGGAATGGTCAGCGGGACAGGCGAGTAGAAAAGGTTTTCTTTTGTGGGTGGTGTTTTATTTTTTAAACACAACAGAGTCTCTTTAAGTGCAGAAAGCAGTCAGAATCCATCTTGCACTGTTCTGACTTTAGCACAATAAATTCATATTGGTTGCTTAGCACTTAAGAAATGTTTTTGAATAAGCTGTATGTGTCTTTGAGCATATACATGTGGACATACCTGGCCACGTTCAGGGGTAGCTTGAAGAGTTCTTGCTTTTTGAGATTATTCTTAGGTTTTGTTTTGTGGTATCTACAATATTTTTTCATTTCAATAAGGAGTGGATCTGGTAATCTGTGCTTTAAACAGGTGCAAAAATACATTTTGACCACTAGAGGGTAAAAACTATGCAAGAAGCTGCATGCTATTAAGTACATCAATATTTCAGAGCAGGGAAATATTTTAATCTAAGGACCAAAATAAGAAAATTGTTATCATGAGGGGTCTCAAGAAAATAATTTTTAACAAAATGGCAGCAATGTCATACAAAGATCAATCAAAATGGCCTTGTAATAAAAAAAAAAACAGGCACACAGACAAAAATACGGTAGTTAATTCAGCTCTGTATTCCTCATGGATAGGGGGCAAGAACATAAGAACCTCTGCAAAATATTTTCTAAATGGGTGGTATGATGTTAACTAGCTACCCACAGCTTCTGTCTTACAAACTGTGCCTGCCTCAAATGACCCTTCACTGTTTTTTAAAACCTTTTAAAATGTCAAACTTACCATTGAAGAATTGAATGGGTTTGTTTTCATGCTGTGGGTGTTTTGTTAAAAAAAATGCCCTTTTTAGCTTAAATATTTTTCAATCTGTTATTCCTTTTTTTTTCTTTCATTAACAAAGTTACAAAACACTACTACTGGCATAACTCTGTTATGATAGTATAACAATCAAGGCACTTTTCCTGGGACCCGTATGTTTGTCTTATTTTACACAGCAAACTTAGCTGGCGATGTGGAATGCAATGTAGGACTTCCCCTTCTGGGTCTCATTAGAGACTTATCGTTGTCACCCCATTTCAGTCAATAACCTTCTATGGTTGCACCCTCACTTTGCCATTCATTATGACACAGTTCTTAAAATTGTGGGACAATCTGAAATATATGTATATTATTATCATTATTATTTATTTTATATTCTGACGACGGCCGTTGTAAAAAAAAACAAAAACAGATAGGGCACCTCCCTCAAATGAGACGGGAACCTCCCTGAAATAAGGTTTTGCAGGTTGGGATGTCTGCATTCTCCTTTACCTCCCCTAATAGGTAACTCTTCCTTTCCACCTGGCTTGTTGAACCCCGGAGCATATCATCGCTGGATTGACTAACCTACTCACCCTGGCTGAGCTGGTAGATTCCACAGGCGTTAAGCCTTTCCCCACTCAACAAGACAAGTACCACCTTCCCTTGAGGGCACTTTTTTGGTACCTTCAAATTAAGCATTACCTTGCATCTCTGTGGTGCATGCATCCTAATCTCTCACAGAAGACACAGTTTGAATGCCTCTGTGCATCGGATCCTCATGCCCCTGGCGTCATCTCTTTCCTAAACTTCTCGCGGCATCCCAAACCTCTCTGCCACCCTAGACCAAAAAGTGGGAGTCGGAGCTCGGTGATGGTTTGTTGCCTGACGATTGGGCCCAGATTTGGGCTGACACGCCAAAAAGCTCCTCCACGGTTATCAGCTTTGGAAACCAACTATAAGCTACTTCTGCTGTAATATCTGGTCCCACATAGGATTGCTAGGACCCTTCCATTGTATCTTTCTAGGGGACATCAGGCAGAGGGGACACTTGTGTTATGTACCACCCATATTTGGTGGGAAAGCACATTTTTATGGCTGTTAAGCGTGTAATTGTTTTGTCTTGGAGGACCACCATTTCCCTACGTCAATGTTTTGCACTAGCAGATTTAGATGGACTTGAATAACAAATTAAAACCAACTACAGCTGAGACTTTTTAAGCAGTTTTTTCCCTTTTGGGATAAAAGATGTACATAAGTAAATGAAAACTAACCATTGTAAGCACCCCTGTACAGTAAGTGTTAAATCGTTTGACTCAACCCTCTATCTGCCGCTTTTACTAGATAGCTTGGTCTGTTAACTACCCCCCGGCCAGCCGCTGTGTATACACGGCATGCCGGGAGCTTTAAAAAAAAATAGTACAAAAATTTAAAGTTTCCCCCCCAATTTTTTTAAAGTTACACAAAAAAAGAATAAAAAAAAACAATATTTTTTTTAAAGTCCCCACCCCTACATACACGCATGTAAGCATGCGTCAGGTGCGCATACCTGCGAAAACGACGATTGCACCCATTACGCCGCACATGTTACATATCGCCGCGAACGTCGGAATGAGAGCAATAGTTCTAGGGCCATCAATCACTGATAACACTAAACTGATGAGCGGTAAAAGCTTTTAAAGCGTCGCCTATGGCCAATTTTGGGTATGCTAGTTTTTTGCGATTTTGCGAGTGCGCGCAATTTTTACGCTTGACATGTTTGGTGTCTATTTACCCGACGTGACCCCGTCTTTTATATTTTACCAAAAAAGTGGGTAGTAATAGTTGTTTTATAGCGTAATGTAAAAAAAAACTTTTTATTCTCAAAATTTTCAGTAATTTCTCCTGAATATAGTAAAAAATAAAACTCGCAGTGGTGATTAAAAACCACCAAAAGAAAGCTCTATCTGTCCCCAAAAAATGGTATAAAATTCATTTCAGTACAGCGTTGCGTGACGGAATAAATGTCAGTCAAAGTACCGCAGCGCTGAACACTGAAAAATGGCCTGGCCAGGTAGGGGATCTAAACACCTGGTCTTCAAGCAGTTAAAAAAGGTTACAAATGACAGCCTTACTGGCTGAATCACCAGATTAAAAAAAAAAGAATCTAAAAAAAGAAAACTAATGCAGCCACCACATCTAAGAATTGGTAAGCTGCAATTTATTAAATTTAATTTGTATATAGAAAATGGGGA